ACCAAAGATCAAAAGGCAGGAGTGCGGAGTTTTTGTTACAGGAACGAACTCAAGCACTAGCGATTATCCGTGTGGCAATCCAGAAGAGAAGCCCTCATCTGAGGCACACGTTGAAGACGTGCTAAAGCCCTTCCCAGGGAAGGCAATCAAGGAATCTTAGGACAAGACAAGATCCAAAACGAATACTTTACGAGAACACGACCCGGTATCTGAAGAAGATACACCAGAAACACGACCGGTGACTTCTGACGAAGAAGTACCACCATTTACGCTCAGTGACGCCACCACAGAGGAGTTAACAGACCTCTACGACAAAAAGTCGATAGAAGCGGTTCAACTTCGACTTCAATTTAGGCTAGGACGAGCCTACGAACCAACAGATCGCCCAAGGCTAGAGCAGCTCGAGGGTGAAATCGAAGAAATAAGACAAGTTCTTTGCGGAAGGGAAAACTTTGACGAAGAATCTCTACGACTCTTTGACGAAGCAACAGAACTTCCACGAGGAGAATCAATCCAAGTTGAATGACAGGAAGGGCGTTCACAGGAAACCGGTGGATTACAGCCAGTTAATCCTCTCAGAACAAGAGCAGTCCCGCTCGAGAGATCTATCTCGAACAGTACTACTCGACCAGATTATCCAGGAATCACACATCTCAGAAGGGACCAGCCACCCCATCTACCCAACGCACCTGGAATCACACGTTCAGTTTCAACCAGATCAAGACCAACCGGTAGCTTCCAGTTCGCAGGAAGTATGGCTACACACGCACGATACGATCCAGCACTCGGACCACCAGTCCATCCCGGAACTTGCACCGATGCCGTCTGGAATGAGTACCAACAAGCATTGGGACTCTATGCACAATACCAGGGAGCAATCCCCAAGCAGCCAGTGGCGTGGGAAAAGAAGATGGGAAAAATCAAGCAGTTTAGGGGAGACAAACGAGAATATGCATCGTTCCTCCGAAACGTGGAACGATATCTACAGGCAAATGCAGGAGTCTACAATGATGACTTCAGTAAAATTGCCTTCGTCCTCTCCCAAATTGACTCCTCATCCACAGCAGGAAAGTGGGCCGAGTCATGGGAAGCCAACCAAATGGCGAAACACAGCAATCTTGGGACGTACCAAGATTTCAAGACGACGCTTACCGAAAAGTATGGAGGTGTCGCCACCAAGGACCAAGCTTGGCAAGTACTTCTCAAAGGAAAGTACAAGCAGGACAAGCAAACCGTTGACGAGTATATCGGAAATCTCGATATCCTCTACCGATATGCCGAAATCGACGACGAATACGCCAAGCTTATCCACTTCAAGCGAGGCCTTAATGAGAAACTTGCAGAAAAAGTCTTCATCACGGAAAATCCGCCAGCGACCTATGCAGCAGCATGCAAGGCCGCAAGAAAGGTCACGGACCTCCAAGACATTCATAGCAGAAAGACAAATATCTTCAAGTTCATCTCAGGCTCTTCAGGAAGCGGAAGAAGGACGGAGAAAGACCCTGACGCAATGGACGTTGACCGGATCTCCCCAGAAACCCATAAGAAACGTTCTGTGGATGGACTCTGCTACAACTGCGGAAAACCAGGACACGTCGCTGCACAATGCCCGAGTCCAGAATATGATCCGGCACCAGATCGCTCAGGAAAGACAGCTTCATATGCCAAGACCAAGACGTCCAATTCCAGGACGAAGAAATACTCCGGATCTGGCAGACGAAGACAGACTTCCAAGCCGACTAAATCTTACTCCAAGGGAATGGAGAAGAAACGACGACGAGTAAAGAGGGTCGAAGAAAGCGACTCGGAGGATAACTCGGAGGAGTCAGAACAGGAAGAATCAGAATCCTCATCATCGGAAGAATCAGAATCTGAATCATCGGAATCTGAAGAAGTATCCGAACAAGAAACGGTTGTTCACAGGGTACGAAGAGCTCGCCCTGTTAAAACCAAAACAGTTCGTAAAATCAGACGAACCAAGGACGAATCCAGCGACTCAGAAGAAGAGTCACATGTGGTTCGAAGATTCATCCCCAAAGAAGAGCTTGCCAGAATACGACGGGAAGATGCACTCAAAATGCGAGGAGACCATATTAAGAAACGCAATATGACGATGCCCCATCTCGACGATCTTTTGGAATTTGGAGACAATCCAGACAGATATGAATATGCGCGCCGATATCCACCACCCATGGAAAAAGATGATCCAGAGGGTTTTGGAATTGGGTGCGCGTCGGGATCTCGTGGCACCCAGATAAAGAAACGATCCCCGAGGAAGTAATCATATGAGGCGATATCAAACGAGGAAGTGAAATATACCTCAATATCGTCTTCCAAGATTACGATGGCACAAGAACCCGAAGTATTCCAGCAAGAGCCCTAGTCAATTCTGGAGCAAAAGGAATGTTCATCAATGAATCGTTTGCGAAGAAAGCAGGACTCCACCTTCTCAAATCACAGAAGGAAGTCAAGATT